TTTTATTGTAGAAGAATCAAATTAAATTTTAATAAAGTTAGAGACATGGTCTCACCATTAATATTCAAAAAAAAAAAGAAGTTATATAGGACTTTTTATTGATTTTCTCAATAAATTTAAAAGATACAACTCTAAAATTTTAATATTATATATTTTTTGATTTTAAAAACAAATCCTATTATGAGATCAGATAAGATTTACTTAGTAAAATCTTGAGATATAGCTAATTTTTATTAGAAAATATAGATAGATTTGGAGAATTAATTTAGATTGTATGAAACTTTTATTAATTATCTCAATAAGTTTAAAAAATACAACTCTAAGATTTTAATATTATATGTATTTTGATTATAAAAACAAATTCAATTAAGTAGTCAAGTAAGATTTTTTTTTTTCGATCTTAAAGTGACCCCTTTGGTCAGTATTTTATTTATATTTAACAGATTACTTTTACAGTATCAGTCTCGCATCAACTGTATATATATTTCTATATACATAACCTCAAACTAATATTTATAACTACCTTAGAACAATTTTATTCTCAGAGTAAATCTACTAGAGCCTTCTATTTTCCCTACTATTAATGGCTAATCTAGTTTTTAATGCCCTTATAAGGTTCACATAGCTACTGCAACCAGAACCCCAGTTCGTAAGCCATACTAGGCTTCTGCTACCTCCTTATTCAGGCTTTGCTAAGCGGGTTTTTGTCTTCATTAGTTTTATAGATTTATACAGATACAAGAACTTATTATAAGTTTGCACTGCCTATACCAGCTTGCATTCTTTTGTACAACTCTTCCGTTATACAAATGCTGTGCGATCTTCTAAATCTTGACTCGGTTCCTAGTAAACCTTCTGAAATAAGCTATCCCGGGTTAGGCACAAACCCAATTTTGGGTAGTGATTATCCCAGCCACTATTTGGTTCGACTATAGTTACAGGATCAGATATCCCAACCTTAAGAAGACAGTTACTATAACACAAATAAAAATTTAAATTTTTGTCACCAGTGGGGTTCGAACTCTTGACTTGCCACTTGGGGACTAACAACTTGACTACTTCACTAAGTTGCCACATCTTAGTTAAGTAAGATTTGCTTAGAGCAGTTGTATTTATTATATAATATTTTTTTATCAGAAAGCTATCTCTCCCTATATCAGATTTATTAACTAATCAAAATCAATATATATATATATATTATATACTATGTAAGATCTCTCTAACACTCCTCTTCTTTTTATATTATATAATAAGTACTACTCCCTTTAGTAAAATCTTGAGATATTGTCAATTTTTGTTGAATAATTTATAGATAAAATTTGAGAATTAATTTAGGTTATATGAGACCTTTTGTTGATTATCTCAATAAGTTTAAAAAATATAACTTTAGTAAAATCTTAAGATATAGTCGATTTTTATTAAATAAATTATAGATATAGAGAAAAAAATTTGTAGAAAATGTAATAGAAAAGAGGTGATAGATAAGAAAATATAATATAAAAAATATAATAATAAGTATAATAATTGTGTGATATGATAAAGAAAAAAGAATAATAGTAGTATATATTTATTTATTTATTTTTTTTTTTTAATATTAAAGTGAGATCATGCCTCTAGTTTTTATTAATATATACTACTATCACTTACAATTTCATAAACATTAATTTACAACTATAGAGACTTAGACTAATTGTCCAGAGTGTAGCAGAGTATTCACATGTCTATATTTGTAATAACCAAAATTATATTTTTGATATATTATTACTAAAAATATCAATAATGTAGTTTCGGTATTTTCTATTTGTAATGCCACGTATCTATATTTGCATACCTGTATAACAACAATATAAAAACAAAATTTTTTTATGTGACAATAGGAAAAATGTTTTTCATGCACCCGTATAGTTTTTTTGCCGATTGCTACTGCTTTGCTTATTATTTTCTGCTTTTTTCTCTTTTTTTCGCTTTTTCTTTTTTTCTTTTTGTTTTCCCTTTTTGCTTTCTTTTTCTTTCTTTTCATTTTCTCTTTTCATTTTTTCTTTTCTTTTGCTT